TCCCTGCCCGTGGAAGTGGATGAGCTTTAAGGTCCCTTCCAACCCAAATCCATCTGCGATTCCATGACCTCCAGTTTTACATTTATTATCCCCTTTCCAGCCACACCAGCCTCAGAGCCCAACCTGCTCCATGCAAGTCCCCCCCCTGGTGCAGCACTCCCACAAAGGGGAGCAGCACTTGGGCAGCCCTTCCTGACCCTGATTCCCCTGTGTGAGGAGCTGGGGCTCACCCCTGTTGCACTGCACAGCACCAAGGCAAGCAATCCCCATTGCTTCAGCTGGGTGCAGAGAGGGGCTGCATGCATTGCTCTGCAGTTACCCCAGGTAGCAGGGGGCTCCTTAGATGCTGCTCATGCTGCCTAACCTGGGCTGGCACTGGGTGCTTCCAGGAGTGCTGAGCTCAGTTTTGACTCATGGGCTTAATCCCATTAATCTAATGACCATGGGTTTAATCTGCCCTTTAACGCATGGGATGTCAAGCTGTCTGCAGCTGCTTTCCCCGTGAGACCCTGATCTGCAACCATCCCTCCTTATAAAAGCAACAGCCCTAAGAGACATCTCCAGTCCCCGAGGCCATGAGCAGCAAAACAGCCACCAAGGACGGGGCTGGAGGAGAGGCTGTTCCCAAACAGGATGCTTGGCAGCCTCCAGCCCTTGTGTGATAGATAACCCCAGATATTCTGCCCCATGGCACAACCTTCAACGTGATTTTGTTTTTATTTAGGCTGCAGCACACAATCTGGAGCTAACGGAGAGGAGAAACCCTGGATGGTTAATAGGGGACTGGCCACAGCTGCTTGTGAACCAGCACAGTTAAGCTGCAACAGCTCCAAACATTACCCCAGTTTTGGGACCCCAGGACCTTGCTCCCAATGTGGATGCTCCATCCAGGACCCTCACTCCCATCCCATCCCCACCAGCAGGATGTGAATTTGGAGAGCTGGAGCCTGATATGGCCCCGAATTCAGGCCATGACCTGTTCATTTGATGGACAGTGGAGTCTGTCTGTGGGGTGGCTGCTCCTGGACGCAAAGATGAAGCACAGACCCTATGGAAAACCAGAGGGCTGGCAGGTTGCACCTCCTGGGCCCAGCTCCAACCAGCACCAAAGCCCATCAGCCATGGAAAAGGTGGGGAGAAGGTCCATGGGGCTCAGTCACGCACAGCCCACATCCCCTCCAGCCTTTCTTCTGTGCTTCCTTTGGTTGATGCTAACAAACAAAACCCATCACGAGGAGGGGACAGGAGCCACTTTTGCCTCCAGTGAAGCACATTAAAGGGAGCGCTGGGACAGACACAAGTCCCACATGTCCCCGGCGGGATGCTGACCCTCAGCCAAAGCCACTTGGAAAAGAAATTAAGTTGTATTGCAAATTAACTGCCGAGTCCTGATAAGACCCCAAGATGCTGCCAACACCAGAGCAACCCCCTGGGTGCTGGGGCAAGTAGTGGCAAGGAAATCACTCACCACCCTCCAGCACCCCTGCCTAGCACCAAAATCAGTTTCTAAGCCTTCCAAGACCTTTAAAAAGGCCCTTTTCTACAGCAGAATGGCCACTCGCTAAGCGAGACACTATTAACAGACAAATGTGCAATAGCCTATGCACTCATAGGGTTGCTGTAGCAAAGCTTCAAGCCCTTCAGCATGCGTTCAGATGCTTCACCCGGCTGTAGAGTGAAGTCCTGGATCCCCAGGACTGCTGACACCCAAGCCTGAACCCCACAACCACAGCTTCTTTATGTCTTGCAATGGCAAGTGGGAAAATCCCCCGTGCACCGAGGTCTCCCCGCCATCCTCAGACCAAGATGACTCTAAAACCACTGGACAGATGCGTCCCTTTGGGGTGATGACTCTGAGACGATCCCGTTTGGATCAAAGGCCCCCAGCCCCCCTCAAATGCAAATCCAGTGGCGCAGATGGTAAAACTCAAGAGCAGAGACTACTTGCATCTAGCTTCCCCTGGAGCTGGCGCACGGCAGCACAGTCGTGTTGCAGCTTGTCCAAAGCAAATAGCAGAAAATAAATAGCAAATAGCTGCAGCTTACTGAGAGCTGTAACTGGAGGCTGAGTCAAAGGTGGGATGAGAACGTCATGCCAGCTGCACCAAAAACCAGGGCTGACTGAGTTCTGAGCAATTTTACCAGCATTTCTCAGCGTTGCTGCCTTTGGGAAACCGGAGTCACAGAATGCACTTTGGGGAACACTTCTCACAGCCCCCTTTTTCCTTCCCCAGTGTCCCCAGAGGAGCTCTACAGCACGAGTGTGAACTGAAATATAGGACTGAGGGAATACGCTCATGTAGGGCTTGACTGCGTGAGTTCCCAGGTGGACACAGAGTCGCCCTGCACTGCCCTGCCCTGCTCACTTTTCACGCGGGTGTTTTGTCCGGCAGCCAAAGCAGCCATGGGGATTTTCCTAAATTTGAGCCTCCCTCCAAAGGAAATAATATTGTCCCGTTTATTTGTAAAAGGAAATCTGGGTATTTGTAAAGGAGTGACCAGCGCAGGGCTGTGTGAAACGCCCTTGCTGGAGCACAGAGCTCTCCAAAACTTTACCCCTCCTCTGTTCTCTGCCTTGTTTTGTGCTGCTGCTGTTTCACCGTTCCTCTGCCCGGTGAGTCAGCCTCCCCCCTGGGTCAGTCTTTCACACGTTGGTAGAGGAGAGGAGGAACAGTTGGAATAAGAAACATGCTGGGATTGCCTAATGGATGCTGCAGAGGAACGGGAGCACAAGGTGGGGTGCAGCACGCCCACTCCTGAGCATAGCCGGGACTGGGGAGCATCTCGCAGCACTGCCCGGGGCACGAACACAGCACAGACCATCTGTTCTCCCCAGGGCTTTGGACCTAGAAGGGAGCTTCCTAAGGAGCGGAGACAGGCACCAGCACAGCAGAACGCCCGCCGGGCTTGCCACAGGGGCTGGTTTAACCCAGCGCATCACATCACCCTGTGACCCACCGTAATTTTCTCCGTGGGATCTCCCCCGTGCATGAATGCACGTTCCCAACCCATCCCTTCCAGTGTGGTTGCACAGGCATCACCACCCTTTCAGCCATCTGCTCTCCGACGCTCTGCAGTTTATACCCCATTCCCGTACACGGGGCAAGATGAAGTTATTAATAACACATAACCCGTGTCCCCCGCTGCCACCGTGAACCATCGGTGCCCGAGCAGACGGGTTATTCCCACCGGCTTCCCCGCAGCCGTACCCGCTCGGCACGGGAACGAAACTATTACACACCGTCGGCTTACCCCAGCACCAGAGCCCACTTTTACCGGGCAGTCCGGGAGCTCTGCTGGAGGGAGAAGGCAACGAATGAGCTGTGCCAACCCCACGGAGAGAAAACAACCCGGGGTGTACCCGGACGGGGGGGGGCTCCCATCACCATCTCCATCACCACCATCCTCATCTCCATCACCATCCCCATCCCCATCGCAGCCCCGGTCCCCTCCGTTGCACCCCTCGTTGTCCCGCCGCCCCCGGCGGGGCACCCCGCGGTCACTCACCCCCGCCGCCGTCGAGGCTCTCCCTCAGGAACTGCCCGCTGGAGAGATGCTGCAGCCCGAAGCTGCGGGCGATCCTCTCGCACACCGTCCCCTTCCCCGAACCGGGGGGTCCCAGCACCACCGCCCGCAGCAACTTGGAGGCCATGGCCGGCTGCCGGAGCCCGGCCCGGGGCTCCGCGGGGCAGGACAGCGCGCCAGCCCCACCGAGCCCTGCCGCTCCCCCCGCATCCAGCCGCCGCCGCCGCGGCCCGTACACATCAGCAGGGCGGGGGGGAGCCCCCGCGGCCAGCACTGCCCGCCCCCCCCTCCATCCGCCCGCCCCCTCGGGCCGCGGCACCCTGGGACTTGTAGTCCCGGAGCCCCACGGGGGACCCCCCCCCAACACCACGGATCCGCCGCCGAGAGCGGACGGCTGCGGAGGGCTCCGGGACCAAGGGACTCCGTGTGCGTCCTGCAACCGGGCAGAGCATCAACAAGCGCTGCAGGGGCTGACCCGCACGGAGCCAGGGTGGCTTTGCAGGGGCTTTAAAAGCCCCGTGCGGCTGCGGGTTAGAAACGCACGGGCTGCAAACGGCCACGTTCGAACGTGCAAGGCTTGCAAACGCGCATCCCATCACGTCGAAGCGGTCGCTCTGCTCCGAGCCGGTGACAACGGTGGCGGTGGGGATAGTGTCGCTCATTGCATTGACCCTCCTGATGCATCCGTGTGTGTATATATGGTGTGTGATGCCCACACCGGACCGACCCCATTCCCAACATAGGGATAACGGGACACAGGGAAAACGCTCGCGGCTGCCCCCGCCCCCGGAAGCGGCCGTCACATGGCGGCGCTGCCATAAACACACCAAGATGGCGGCCCTCACGCCGTCAGCCCGTGCTGCGTCATGTCGCCCCCCGGGCTCGGCCTTCAGGTGGGTCCTTTATGGCCGGTACCGGAGGAAAAGGGGGGGGGGGGGGTACGTGAGGGGGGGGGGGGAGCGGGCGGCCGCCCGCTCCCCCCCCCCCACGTACCCCCCCCCCGCCCCGTCGGTCTGGCGCCGCCGCTTGACAGGCCCCGAGTAGGCCTCTGGGTGCGTTCCAACGCTCCCGACGGACGGAGACAGACGGGTGAGGTGCGGGGTCGGTGTCTTGAGGGCGGTGAGGGGTGGCCGGGCCCTTTGGGGTTGCGGAAGCGCTGTCTGTGGGGAGGGAAGTTGTTATGGGGCTGGGGGGGGGGGCGGCGGCCCTTTCTCCCACAGCCGCTCTCCTCGTTCCATCGTAACTGGCTGCTTGTTTCCTCTTCAGGCTTTATTTCTGGGCCAAGCGCCGTGATGAAGGTGGAAATCAGGTTTACTCCCTTTCATACCTCATCCCCCCCCTTGTAGTTGAGACCCCGGGGAGTTGTGAGCGTGTGGATTGTGGCCCGGGCACGGCGGTGGGATGCTAAAGGAATTCCGGTGCACATAAGTTAACAAAACCCACCCCCAAATAAGCAGAGTCGCCAGCTCCTTTCAGGAGCAGAAACTGGCAGCAAACACTGGAAACTCGAGGGGTTTTCTTAAAAGTATATGGCAATATGCGATGCTTCTGCAGTCACAAGGGCAAAAAGACTGTGTTAGGCTCCAAAACTAATGCAGGTTTTGCTTATAAGGGGGTTTCCTCAGGGGATAATGGTGACTCTCCTTAGGGTTTTTGTATCAGGTCTGGGTAGCTTTAGTCTGACCAAAAATCAACAGGTGAGTGTGAGATGCAAGGAAGCGAACTGCGTGTGCATTGGAGTAAGAGCTAGATCCTCTAGAGAAAATGGCATCAGCCTTTAGAATATGTAACTCCAACCTTTGTGCCAGGGGGTGTCGGGCAGGAGCTGCTCACCTTTGTGGTCTCATAACCTCTGCCTTTAAAGAGCATTATGGTAACTCCTGAGACATGGAATAAAACATGGAAAGAGCAGTCAAGGCATACTGGAGCTATAAAATGACACCTCTCATCACTTCAGCCTGTGAAACACAGGATTCTCAATGCCATTCTATGGAAGTCAGTAGAATTTTTCTCTTGGAGTAGTAGTGGTGTTGGAAGAACACCTCAGGGCGAGAGCAAATGGTTCATTACTTACGCAGCTTCCTTTTCAGAAGTCACCGATGTACATACAGAGTCTATTAACGTGGTTTACCAAGCTTTTCAGTTGTCTGTTTTGCTCTCGCGGCCACAGGCTCTAATGCTCAATCTACAAATGGTGGTAAATCCGTGAGTTTGAGGGGATGTGTTTAAGTCCTCCGTGCCGTACGTCAGGATTGCGTAATCTGTTGGCTGTCCCCTTTTTATGTAATGTATGTTTGGAGTTGGGTTTAAAACACACAAATGTTTTTTTTCCCACTGCGTGCTTCTCTCAGATAGTTCGTGTTTGTCTCTCCGTTGCCCTCTGGAGTTAAAACCCTGCAAGACACCGGTTTGATGGCTGGAGCCCGCTGGCTGGTGCGTATTTCTCTCTTAACAACAGTCTCTGCCACACCTCAGGACGTGCTCTTCTCCAGGTGAGTTGTGTGGAGTGTTGGGCTGCTGCTGGAGTTTCTGCTTCCTCCTGGTGTGGAGGTGAGAGCACCCTGGACCAGTGAATTCCATCAACATCCAAAATGAACTTCTGAAAAACTTAATAATACATTAACTTCTTCTGTAACACATTAACTTCTATTGTGTAAAACTGTTGGTTTTGAAACTCATTTCAGAACTTGAGCTGTTTGATTCTCTTAACCAAAGTGTGTGTGTGTGTAGAAATATTTCCATGATCTTTTTCGGCAGTGCCTGTTTTTAGGGAAGAAAAAGGGAAGGAGGTAAAAATATAGGTTGATGTAAGGTTGTAATGTGATCAGTTTGTGGTGGAATTGTTTATTTCACAACCTTATATTTGTACCCTATAACCTAAAAATGCCACTGAGCCTTTAGGCCCCTCATGTGCTTACTCCAGCTGCAGCCCCTGGTGAACACGGCTGGGTGCTGCTCCCCTCAGAGCCCTCGTGCTGGTGCTGTTAGTGATCCCCCTCCTCAGCTGTTGCAGGCAGTATAGCTCCATTAACTCATCTGGCTCTCTGCCATTGCACCCAGTGACTGGTTGGTGACATTCAATACTCAAGCAGCATAAAACAAATGCTGCTGTCTTAACTCCAGTGGATTTAAGGGGGAAGAGAGGAGTCCCCATGTTCTCTGTGGTGATACCTGTAGAGCAGTTAGTTACCCTATTTCCATTAAATCCAGCATTAGTGGATGTAGCCAGCAGAAGCTGCTACTTAAAACCACTTTGAGCTGCATTGCAGAAGCCACTGCAGTGATTAAGATAACAGATTAGCCAGATAATTAATGCTGGACTGAAACCCCTGATGCAAAGCCACTTCTGTTAAATGCTCTTGAGCTTTTCACCTGGCAGATGGACACTGGCTGGGGTGATGCTGTGTTTCTGAGACGTGTGAAGGATGAGGAGGTGGAGGATGTGCCTGCTGGGCTCGGCAGTGCTGTGGAGGGGCCGCAATGACTGACAGGCTGCCCTGGCTCAGTTATCACAGTGCTGATGCTGTCTCTTGTAAAGGTACAGTACTGTGATAACTGAAGGATGGCAGCCATCTGAGCTTCTCGGAGCCCCATGGATGCACGTACGGCGCAGCAGCGTCCTCCTGAAGCAGAGTGTGCTCATTTTAAATGTACCCCTTTGCATAAAAGTAAAAGGTTAATGTTGTCTTTGAATAAAATATTGGACTTCATTGAGAGTTTGCCTGGTAACTGACTGCTTTGCCTTGGAAGAAGCCTTCCAAAAGTGGTGTGCTTTGGAGATCTTCAAAAATGGTTCAGAAAGCAGGGCCCTGTGCAGCACAGTGGAGTATTGAAGAGCGGAGGGGTGGGTCAGTGGGTGAATCTTGGTACCAGAGCAAATGGAAACAACTGTAGCACTACAGAAAATAAAGCCTTTTTAAGATACTCTTTAATGCATCTTGTTAAAAATACCATGAGCTTGGCTAGCTTGTTTCCATGTGTCTCAATACATGGCAATCCCAAGCACAGCTACAGGCTGGGTGGAGGGTGGATGGAGCTGCCCTGAGGAGAAGGACTTGGGTGTGTTGGTCAATGAGAAGCTCCCCATGAGCCAGCTTCAGTGTGTGCTTGAGCCCAGAACTGCCCCGTGTGCTGGGCTGCACCCCCAGAGCGTGAGCAGCAGCTCAGGGAGGGGATCCTGCCCCTCTGCTGTGCTCTAGGGAGACCTTAGAGCAGCTCCAGTGCCTGAAGTGGCCGCAGGAAACCTGGAGAGGGGCTTTGGACAAGGGCCTGTAGGGCCAGGCCAAGGGGAATGGCTTTAAGCTGCCAGAGGGGAGACTGAGATGAGCTCTTAGGCAGAAGCTCTCCCCTGTGAGGGTGCTGAGGCACTGGCACAGGGTGCCCAGAGAAGCTGTGGCTGCCCCATCCCTGGCAGTGTTCAAGGCCAGGTTGGACACAGGGGCTTGGAGCAAGCTGCTCTAGTGGAAGGGGTCCCTGCCCGTGGCAGGGGTTGGAGCTGGATGAGCTTTAAGGTCCCTTCCAACACAAACCATTTTTAAGAATTTCTATGAAATAGATGGTCGGGAACGGGCTATTTCAGTCCGGTGAGGACGGTGCAGGGGGAGATAGCAATGCATCTGGTACTGTCCCTTGCAGGGTTTGCTTGGGCTTCTCTGCCCCAGTGAGGGACAGACTGCAGCCTTCCTGGGTCATTTCCGTAACGATGTTATTTAAACGTCCAGAAAAGACGAGGTTTCTCGGGGGACTTGCTCTTGGTCGAGGCTGGTCTTATTTTTGTGCCATGTGAATTAAATGATGTGGGAGTGGGGGCCGGGCTGCAGTGCTGGAGCTTGACAGCAGAGGGGCCCAGCGGGCCAGATTGTGTTGGGGAGTGTGAAATCCGAGGGGTTTTGTGTAAAATGAGCAGACTTGTTACTGCAGTGCCTGTTCCCCAGATCCCCCTCATCCCAGGAAGCGGATGGCCCTCAGGCTGCCGACGCTGATGCAGCGGTCTCCAAAGGTCCCAATTAATTCTTGATACCAACATTAAGTGTGGTCATTGACCTGGTGGTGTTTAGGAATACTCTTCCTTCTGGAGTCGATGATTCATGGCTGTCCAGGGCTTTGCCCTGTGCTTCCCTGCGCAGCCCTGGCTGCTCTGGGGAGAGAATGGGGATTAGCTCAATCAGTGCTCTGCTCCAGCATGGCAATTAGATGGGTTATGTTATTCCTCTGATCTTCTTTACTGGAAGGGATCTGCCAGACAGTGCTGTTGGCGATGTCTGAGGGCCCAGACGGGGTCAGTGCTGTGCAGCTCTGATGGAACGTTTGCCAGCGTGCGCCATTTAACAGGGGAAATTGTTACTGCTGTTGTGATAGTGGCTTGAGCCTGCGTCTGGAGGAGGGTTCTGGTGCACTAGATACTGCACGTGATAGAAAAGACATGCTGCTACCAAGCGTTTAAGTTCTAGGTGGATTAAAATCTGAGCAGAGTCAACCCTCAGCTTCTTCCCTGCCTCTTTCCAAAGCTTGCAGGGACTTCCCAGGGCAGGAGTATGCTCATCCCAAAAATGAGAGATGGCCATCTCCCATGGCTGCCGCCATTCCTCACTGTACAACAGCAGCTCCTCTTCCAGGTGCTGTGCTAGGCTCCTGTTTTGGTTATGGGATGAATGGGAGAGAAGAGGAGCTGTGGGATCTTGGGAGTGGGAGCATTTGTAAGCTTCCAGGCTGGCCAGGGCTCAATTTCATCTCTTTGTACCTATTTCTGCTGTTGTTTTAGGATCCAGCAGGTGCTCAGGAAACGTTCATCCCCTTTTCTGGGAGAAAGGCAGGCAGCAATGGAGTTCGGAGCTGGAAGTAACGTGGTGTTCAGCCATGTCCTCCCTCCTTCCCATAGGAAGTGAGGGCACTGCGCAGAGGCAGATAGGTTTGTTATGGACCAGGTCCTCACCTACCAAGCCTAGGGTCGGATTTGAGGGTTAATGACCAGCCTGGCTGGCTGAGAGGGACGTGCAGCAGAGCTGCTCACTGTGTGCTGGAGCACACATTGGGTGCTGGTGAAAGAGCAAAGAGCCTGTTCAAATGACATGTGCCTCTGGCTTCAGGCTGTGCTTCTCATTTCCTGTTACAAGTACAGCTCCCAGCTCTGGCATGGGACAGGAACTGAAACACTGTCTGTGCCTGAAAACAACACCTCTCCAACAAGGTTTACTGGGAGCCTTGGTCTTCCTCTCAGGCTGAGCAGATGGAGAGTCCACCTCTTCTTCCTGTGGCTTCCTACTGATATGATAATGGGACAGACTTCTTATAAATACGGGTGGGTTTGCTATGTCTAAATATTGCTGCACGCGAGCAATGCAACTATCAAGTCTTCTTTGGCAGTGGAGCACTTCCTCCCACAAAGGATGTTAAAGCGGAGATGTAAACAACATGCACGCAGTGATACATCCCATCGCTGTCTGCTCAGAAGGAAGCTCTCTCTGAGGCCCGTCCGTTTTCTGATAAAGCTTTCTGTAACGGATGGGTTTGATCCCAAGACAAGGCAGCTCGCTCGTGACACGTCCCTGCTGTCATTCCAGATGGATTTGTTCTAACCCGGTGGTTCTCGGGCTGTTTCATCAGGAAAGTCCCTTTTCCCATCTGGAGGCTGTCTCCTTCCCACCCACGTTCTGCATGAGGAGAGCAGGAGCGCTGCTCCTGTGACATCTCCTTGGGGCTATAGATCTGCAGACAAGGGTGGCTGTTCTGTTCCTGGCTTTCATCCACAAATTCTCCTTTTAAGGGCCCCGAGCAAGCTGGCCAGCTGCTGTCAGGATAAAAGACTTCCATTGTGAGCCTGCGCTCAGCCTTGACACCAGGTGAGGATGTTGCCTTTCCCCAGTGTTCTGGTTTTTAAAGGCTTTGACTTGTGTGACTGTTCAGCGTGAAGCATCCATACTAAAAAGCCTCAGTTTAGCAGCACTAAAATAGGAAGGATCCTTCCCAGCAGAGTTTCAAGCACACACGGGTGTTGTTTCAAAGTCCAGCGGTGCCCCATGGGAATCAGGCTGTTTTAATGACTGTTCATTCAGATCCTCTCTGGCTAGTGCAGAGCACTTGACCTTGAACTTTAATCCAGACCTTCTTGCTTAAACATCTTTACAAATCAAGTAGCCCAACTGCAGTGTCTCAATATGTGCACATATTAGATGTACCAGAATGTAACTCGGTTTTGGGTCAGGTTAGGCAATTCCTGAATGTGCTGGTTTGGGCTGGGGTGGAGTTAGTTGTCTTCATAGTAGCTGATAGGGGGCTGTATTTTGGATCTGTGGTGAAAACAGCATTACTGATGGAGAGATGTTTTCATTATTGCTGAGCAGTGCTTACACTGAGTCGAGACATGGAGTCTGCTCCCCACACCACCCACCAGCGAGTAGGCTGGGGCTACGCGAGGAGTGGGGAGGGGACACAGCCAGACAGCTAATCCCAGTTGACCCAAGGGATATTCCAGACCACAGGACACCCTGCTCAGCATATAAAACTGGGTAAAGAAGGAGAAAGGCATTTGTCCTCTCAAGTCACCATGACTTGTGAAGGAGATCTGCTTTCCTGATGGCTGAACAACGATCTGTCAATGGGAAGTGGTGAGTGAATTCCTTGTGCACAGCTTTTGCTTTTCCTGCTCTAGTGGAAGGTGTCCCTGCCCATGGCAGGGGGTTGGAACTGGATGAGCTTTAAGGTCCCTTCCAACCCAAACCATTCTATGGTTCTATGATTATCTCAACCCATGAGATTTCTCACTTTTACCCTTCTGATTCACTTCCCCATCCCACCAGCGGAGACAGTGAGCAGCTGTGTGGTGCTCAGTTGCTGGCTGGGGTTAAACCACAGCCCTGAAGATGACCCCGGAGATGCTGGACAAAGCAGAATGGACAAAAACAAGTTGAAGACTTTGGTGCAGCCTGTGTGATCAGAAATGCCACCAGCTCAGCCATGCAACATCATTTACCATCAGATGTGGAGGTATTTTCTTGGCATGCCAGCTCCAAACACTGCTGTTAGAGCACCCTGCCTGCAAAATATCATGAGCTTCAGAAGAATTCATTCATTACAAATATGCTCAGCTCAGCTGTGGTATTAGCTTCACTTTCTCAGAGTCAGGTGAGATCAGTGTGTGATTATGTTCTCACTCCTTTTTCCTGGCGAGGGGTCCTTTCCCACTCAGTGCAAATGCTGTGGAGGAGCAGTAATGGCCTTTACACGTGCCTGTTACCGTGAAAAGCAGTCTGCAGAAGTACTGTGTGATCAGGGGATGACACCACCATTTCTCCTTCCTGCATAAACTGTTTCCGACTGTATCTCACATTTAGGAGATAGTGACTAGCTGAGTTGTTGGATAATACGTAAACCCCATGTTGTTGTCATTCGCTTGATTCACAAAGGGAAAATGTGACTTCAATTGATGTCTGACTGGGGACAAAACCACTCCTTGAGAACGGAGTGTTTCGGTGTGGGGCAGTGTCAGAGTTACCTCTGTCATTGCTGTATTCAGACAGATGAGAAAGGCAGGATTGTGCAACTTGGTACATAATTTTCTCTTCATAACGTTTCACAGGAGCAGGAGAGGAGCGTGGATCTATGTGTGGGTTAATACACCCTTACATGAGATCACGTCTTTAAGTTGGGCTACTGTTACAAGCTTTCTGGGACCTAGCACTGCTGGAGCCAGAGGAGAGACTCCTCTTGACTCCAGAGGGCTTTGGCTCAGACTTGTACTTCAGATCATAGGCAAACTTCTGATCCCAATCTTAAGCTCCCCATTCACTTCAAGAGGACGAGAGCTGCACTTTGTCTGGGTTTTATTTGGTACGCAGGGATGTATGTCTGACACTGGAAACAGCCTCATGCAACTGTAGCAGAGAACAGGGTAAAAAAGAGTGTGAGGCCACTCGGGAGGGAAGCAGCTCTTGGTTTGGGTGGTTCCCTGGATGTTCTGAAATTGGACACTGCAGCCCCAACCCTAGCTCAGGACAGGTCAGTCCCCAGTGCTGTGCACACATGGTCTCCTTAAATTAAGGCAAAATCATTAAGGTTTGGTGCTGTGCTGCTGCTGGTCAGTACTGAGAAGCTGTAGCTGCCCCATCCCTGGCAGTGCTCAAGGCCAGGTTGGACACAGGGGCTTGGAGCAAGCTGCTCTAGTGGAAGGGGTCCCTGCCCGTGGCAGGGGTTGGAACTGGGTGAGCTTTACGGCCCCTTCCAATATAAACCATTCTATAATCCTGTTGCCAAGGGAGCACAGCAGTTATGTGGGGGCAGCTTGTGGTGCAGGAGGGGAGGAGAAGGCAGGTGGTATCAGCACTCCCTCTGCTACAGTTTGCTGCCTCCTCCCTGCAGTGAATGTGAGAGCTTGCTATCGACTGCCCTCCATTTTAATTAACTCTAGGAGCAGGCAAAGTACACTGAATAATTCAAGAGGGACATGTGTTTAAACACTTGCAAAGCTTCAGATTCCACCTGCCTAAAAATCAGTCTGTGAGAGAGCAAATGGTTCCTGGTGAGGTGGTGGTGGGTGGACAACAGAGTTATGGATCACATCCCAACCCCTTTGTGTTGCTCCAGCCAAGAAGATGCCATCTGTGGCTCCCATTCTTGCTGCTGGGACAAACTGGGGCTGATGGTGGTAGAAAGTTCATGGCAGTCAAGGGCTGCACACGCAGGGGCAACACCAGCGCAGGTAGTTCTGGCCTGGGGGCAGAAAGAGCTCATAGCACAGAGTTTTGGAGAAGGGGCTGGTAGGGAAGCAGGTGAGGCCAGTAACAGGGCTCAACATCAGCAGTTTTAATGGTTACTCTGAAGTTACAGGGGTAGTGGTTTTCCATAACTGGGAGTTTCACCTCCTGCACTTGTTTTCTCATAAAGAGAACATGACTTTAACAAAAACACACAAGCAAAACCATGAGCACACAGATGCCCTTTAGGGTCAAGCATTTTGGAGCTCCAGAGCAGAAGTGATCCTTCCAGAGGGAAGTGGATGAGGAGGAGTCAGTACCTTTCCTGTGGAAGCTCACTGATAAAGGCTGCACCGGTTTAGATGGGCACGGATCAGTAGGGACACCATGGGAGGCTCCATATCCGTGTTTCTGATGCGTGGCTGGGTTACCTGCTGATCTGGTGTATTCCATATGCAAGCAACTTCCTTAAACCTGTTGGCTTCATGTTCCCAGGGTGATAAAGAGTCACATGTTTGTTTCAGAACAATTTCCACCCAGGGCAGAACAACAGCATCTCAAGGCAACATGTGATGCTGCCCCTCCAGCATCCAGAGATTTGCTGCATCCTGCTTTGAAATGCATTGCTCTGGGGGACCCTGAAAATGAACATTTGCTAACGAAGGCTAATTAATGTTGGGTGTAAAAGTGACATGCTGCTGCAGTTGCGTTTGCCTTCTCATTAGAGGAAAACTCATTTTATTCACAATCCACAGCGGGTGTTTTAGCTGATAATTTATTAGAGGAACACAGTATCTGTGTGGTTCCTTCTTAGTCTAAGGATTTTTCACTTCTTCACCCCTTTAGCTCAGCTAAGTTAAAGGAAATGTGCCACAGCCTTCTAAAACAATCACATGAAATACAGTGTTTCACTTAAGAGGAAATGAGGAAAAACAGTTACATAAAATGGGAGAAAAATATTGCTTTTCACCTCCACAGGTTTCATGGAATGAAGTGGCAACATCAGCTATTTTCATCAGGTACATTGCAACCTGAGTGCTTTCAGTCCATTTGAACCCCATAGCTAGCAGTTCCCAAATGCACTGTAACCGTTACTCTCTCGCTGTAGGCTGTGCCATTCCGATGCAACCCTTGCTCTGACAGATCGCTGACATCTTTCATTTTTCTCTTCCCATTCCCTCTCACAACAGCGCCATGGTCCTGCTGAATCCGTGAGGCACATGGTTAAGCAGCACAACAGGGTGAAGGCAAAGGCAGGGGCACTAAGCTGCTGATGGTGATACTACTCATCCTTAATGGGCTTGGGAAGAAGTCCACATTTCTTCGGGTCTGGAGTTTGCTTGCCCTCCTGGTTGTATTTCTATACCCTCTGTGCCATTATGAGCAATGTGATCTTAATTCTCTATCTCCGTGCAATGGAGGGAGGAGGAATATAGTAAACCCCACATTAAAAAAAAAAAATGCTGTTTTTTAACACAGACCAGGGAAATGGAGTTCCCAAAGAGAACATGAGAAAAGCAGGAGTGACAGAATGTGCTTTGGAAGCTGGCCAAGCAGGGCTGTATATCCTGGCTGCTAGTCACTTGTTAAAGATCCCAGGCATGCTGCATGCTCCATGTTACGTGTGTTCTCCTGAGACAGGGGCACCTAGATGCAGGACACTGACCTGAGCATTGCCCCCAGCCATGTAAACAAGCTCTGGGATCTGTGGAACGTGAGGGATGTGAATCAGTGTGCATCATTCCAGAGGGGTGAATGCTTTGGTGACAAACGTGGTGTTTCCAACCCTAAAACTTGAACTAGAATTAAAGCCAACATTAGTTATTGCTCTGGTTGAGGTCAGTCTCCGCTTTGTCCTTCCCCTCCAGTTCCAGTTAGTGCCAGACTCGTCCTTATAAAAGCCAGCTGTTGCACATGTAGCTTTTCTGGGGTTTACATATATATCATACGTATTTATATATATGGAACTAGTATATAAGCAAGTGTGTCTAGCTCTAGTGGTATGGCTGGCAGGCAGCCAGGCAGCAAGTGGGTACATGTGAACTGTGCCAGCGCCAAACTCATCCTTCTGGAGATGGCTGTGCTGGAAAATAGATGAGCTGAAGAAAATGCATTTAAGGATCTGGGCAGTATTGATTTGACTTTCTGTCTTTTATTAGTCTGCTTAAAGCACAATAAAAAGTCACTAACCGAATTTGACTTCAGTGGAGGGGGGTCAGAAGTGGATTTGGAGCTGGCCACCATCACCACCCTGCTCCATTATGTCTCAGTGCAATGATGGCTGAGACAAGAAGCCAGGGCTGGAGCAGCTCTGCTCTGGAGCCAGGCTGAGAGAGCTGGGCTGGGGCAGCCTGGAGAAGAGAAGGCTCCTGAAGGGGAGACCTGAGAGCAGCTCCAGTGCCTGAAGGGGCTGCAGGAAAGCTGGAGAGGGGCTTGGGACAACGGATGTAGGGCCAGGCCAAGGGGAATGGCTTTAACCTGCCAGAGGGGAGACTGAGATGAGCTCTTAGGCAGAAGCTCTTCCCTGTGATGGTGCTGAGGCGCTGGCACAGGGTGCCCAGAGAAGCTATGGCTGCCCCATCCCTGGCAGCCCTTTAGGGTTCCTTCCAACCCAAACCAGCCTGGGAATCTATGATTTAGGCTGCACTGGTTGCAGTGTGCCAGCTGCCAGCCCACAGGCACTGGTGTAACTCCATCCTTTGCAACTGCTCTACAGCTTTTTACACAAGCAGTGTTTCTGGTGCACAACAACTGAACATAAGGTATATTTTTCAGTAGAGAAATTTGGGGGAGAAAAAAAAAATGCTGTTGTTTTGGCTTGTTAAGAGAACAATGAAGAACCAGAAAACCGGCAATGAGAAAACAGCCGAGGAAGGCAAGCAGCAACATGAACATGCCTGATGCAGGACGGCATCAGCATCTCTACTCTCCCAAGCCTGGAGCACAGCAAGAGAACTCCATCCCCCTGGGCAGTGAAGCTGGGAAATAGAGCTCCGTGTTACGCCTCCTCCACACTGCTCTGCCAGCCTGCTTCAGCCCCGTGCAGGAAATCCCCCTGCAGCTTGGCCTCCTCCAGCAGCTGCCGCGGCACCCTCAGAACAAGCACTGCTTTGGATGGCCAGAATTTAATCATTCCTTTGCGAAGTAAATTTGGAATAGTGACAGGAAGGACCTCTCCCTCCCCAAGATGAGAGATTATTGGAAACCCCTCTTGGCTTAAAAAACCCAAAGGGTTTGGCACCATATTTAGTAATAGTTAATTAGGAAGAAGCAATTCACACATTCCTGATGGCTCAAAATAAACTCTCTCACTTGCTTTTCCAAGCAGAGACAAGCACTCTGAAAACGGTGGCACAAACAGGGGTTCACGCATGTTGTGTGAGCATAGGAAGTTTCAGATAAATTCAGCAACAGATCAGATGAAAGAACTTGTGCCCTTGTGTATCTATTTATACAGCTCCTGTGGCAAGTCCCCCCCCTCATCGCTGCAGCATCCGGGGGCCTCACAGTCTCTCAGATACTCATAGAAGCTGCCACAGAATACTGGATGGTGATGGTGTGATGGGGAGACACAATGGGGAGGAGGAGGGTGTAGGGTGAAGTCACCCAGCCAGCAAACACCCAATGGGTGGTTTGGAGCACCGAAGGTTGTTGGTGTGTGAGTCCCTTTGCCTGATCCAACTGCATGCTGCCTGATGGCTGCTCCTGCTGCTTCTGCTTCTTCTGCTCCTTCTTCTCCTCCTGGTCCTGCTGCCTGGCTGCTCCCCCAGCTCCAGCCACAGGGTGAACCAAACCCTGTGTCAGAAAAGATAACTCTTCAGTGAAAAGATCAGTTTTATTGATTTTGAGGCAAAGATGCTCCATTTGCTCTGCCTTGTAACTCCTGCTTTGTTTTTCCTGGGGATAAAAATGGAACAATGTTTTTCTTTGGGGAAAAAAATAATAGTTTGAGAAATCAATTCTAATGTGAGCAGCACTGAATACAGCCTGACACTCTGCAGAAGCACACAAAAGCACCAAGAATTACCCTCAGAATACTTTCTAATGCTATTGCAGTTTAAGGCGTTGCTGGCATTGAAAGTCCGCGGCCCATTTTACACATTACACAGCACCTCTGGCTTCATGACCTCCTCCTGATTTTCACAAGTATGTTTGAGAAGAGCCAGGCTCCAGAAGTACTGCCAAGAACAAATCAATGACAAACTGAAACCACGTAGATAGTGTTAAATCACATTTAGGTAAGGGTCCAGTCAACCCCAGGCTGGTGGCGTTGGTGATTTAAAGCACTTTACCGTATGCAGGGCCCCCCACTGTACCTTGAAATGCCACAAAAAAAAAAGGGCTTTTAAACATTTATACTGTTTAAAGTAATGTGGGAACATCCCCATTTCAGAGGCAAAGGTGCAGTTTGGCTTCTGGAAGCTTGAAAACCAAACTGCAGAGCAGGCGAGGAATGGATAATTCCTGCATCCATCCCTGCCCCTCCTTTAAAGAAGGCTACAGGAGAGAATCTGTTTGAATTTGACTTTCAATGCACAAATACCAAGGCAATCATCTGTATTTTGGCCTTTTTTATTGTGGAGGGTATCAGTGCCTCCTGGAAGTTACAAAATAAAGAACACAATAATTCTTCTGCCTCATCACTGCACCCTGGTACAACAATAATGGGCGAAAGAAAAACTTACTGTGCATCAAAGGCCTTTCTGCAGCTCTTTGAAAGCCCATTCTCTTTATTAGCAAATCCATGTGATAAATTCCTCAGAGAAAGCTACTTTAAAGGCTTCAATGCAAAATGACATCTTCCCCATGGGGCGGTATGTTGTGGTAAAACCAGACTGGTTTGGGTACAGGCGGGAAATCATCCCCTGTTATTAACATAGTTCTTGGAGTAATTTTTAGAAGCGCATTGATCTCCCCTCAGTTACATGTCAGAGAACAGCAAGTAATGCCAGGCACCAGTGTCCTGACATAAAGGAGGAAAAGCAGAAAGCTCACATTGCAGGTAGGACCAGGAGACTGAACACACCATTTCTGTGGGGCTGAATGTGCCGTAGGAGCTCAGCACCATCTTTTAAAGTGAGGTTGTGAGCCTGTAAGAGTTTAATTCTCACCGAAGGACAGAGCCTTTGGGAGCCTGGGTCATTCCTGGGCATGGTCTTGGGCTGTGGGCACCCATTTAGATAGAGGCAGAGGTAAAGCTGCTCTCCCCTGAGCTGCTGCAGCCAGGAGCAGCCCCAGGCTAAGCCCTTTATGCAATCCTTCAGTCACAGCCACCTCCTTGGTGTTGATTTGCAGCTCTGAGCTTCAGGATTTAAGGACATTCACAGCATCAGTTGCTGTGCTGGGAAACAAACCCTGCCTCTAAATAACAGTAAAGATCTGGTACTTTATTTGGCATGAAAACCCACCAAGAAAACCTGATTTTACCAGTATAAAGGCAAAGCCATGGAAAGGGCTAGCAAGAATGAAACCTGGTCTAGTGGAAGGTGTCCCTGCCCTGTCCCAGAGGGTCAGAGGATCTTTAAGGTCCCTTCCAACCCAAAGCTTTCTAGGTTCTATGATTCTGATTCTAATCAATGGAACCACATCCTCTGCAGGCAGATCATGGGAAGCAGAGAACAAGAAATGGTGGGACCGGAGAGCTGTGACACAGCCACACATCTGCAGGTTTTGACCTCTCTCCTTTCAACCTCAGGCTCTTTCCTAACCTGAGTTAAGATTACCAGAGTGATAGAAACAGGGTGAGATTCCAGGGCTTTCCCATGCACCCACAGTGCACGGTTAATCCAGACCCAATAATGCCATGCAGCTGAGGAAAAAGGTTAATATGCTGCAAAAGCATCCAAATTATGCTCTGCTGATTCCCCAACTGCTGTGGACACAGGTTAGGTAGCACTGGTTTGTTTTCCCTTGGGAGAGGGGAAAGAAACAATCAACGATTATCTACCTTCAGTTTGTGAACCTCAACCACCCACTATAGAATCATAGCATGTTTTGGGTTGGAGGGACACCTGCCACTAGAGCAGCTTGCTCCAAGCCCCTGTGTCCAACCTGGCCTTGAACACTGCCAGGGATGGGGCAGCCACAGCTTCTCTGGGCACCCTGTGCCAGCGCCTCAGCACCCTCACGGGGAAGAGCTTCTGCCTTGTATCTAACCTGAATTTCCTGTGTTGAAGTTTAAACCCAGACAAGGTTTAAACCTTGTCCTATCACTGCAATCGCTGATGAAGAGTTCCTCTTTAGCATGCTTGTAGGCCCCTTTCAGACACTGGAAGGCTGCCCATGCACACAAGCGCACTCGCACGCAGTCAGCTCCCACCTCCCAGCTTCAATGTGGTAGATGAAAAACTTGGGTTGATTTCCTAGAGCTTCAAAACTCACCACTGCTGGGGCACAAGCTGGGGCAGATGAGCTGGGACTGACGACCTGTGTTGGCCTCTGAACACTCTGCAATGGCAATGGGACTTGTACACCCATGCGCTGCCATGCATGAGAAGACCTTGATAAAAAGATGTTATCGGCGTGCTCTGATGAGTCGGAATAACAGAAACCATTATGTTGAAAGGGGGCACCTTCAGCAGAGTATTGGGGTTTTTTACTGACTGGTTCAGCTATTGGGCCAATTCTCCCAAAAAGCAGCAGCAGATTGGTTCTTTCAGAATAAAATGCCAAATACGTGTGTGTGGGAAGGGGGAAATCATTTTATTGAACTGAATCATCTTCTAGCTGATAACTTGTGCAGTTTCCTGCGACTTTGAGAAGAGTTTGAAACCACAGCGCAGAAACCCATTTCTCTTCTGTGCAGAGGGGAGAACTGTGTGTGTCTCCTCAC